TATATATTATAACTATAGTTCGTATCTGAGACACCCTTCGGCGCGCAGCGTCTAATATATCTTCCGTTACAGGAGGGCATTATTGTAAACAACATATTCTAACAGTGAATCAGTATGATACGGCGTATAAATACTGCTCGTGTGCGTTGTGCTCTCGGAGGGAGAGCGGAAACAAAATCCGAGGGGTTGTATACAGTGGGACGGCATACTGTATCCTGTACACAATAAGTACGGTAGTTAATTTTTAAAGGGCATCCCGACAGTCTGGCCCTGTCTAGGTAACCACGGCTGCTCCGGTAGGTTTACTAGTGGGTGTCCGTGTCCGATATGTAGTTGGTTTTGAAGTCCCCAGCTAGGCGGCGCTAGGTTCATCTTAATCAGAATACATACATGTATCGACACACCGACTGAACACGTACTCTGGTATGAAACATTAACAGGTTTCTTTTCCCTCATGGAATAGACTGGTAGGGAGATCCTGTTACTCTGCAGGGCTGCCAGCGGCAGGAGCAAGTAAGAAGGGGCGAGAGAGATGGCGGGGGCGGCGGGGGGCGGCGTTGGGAGGCGTCGGGCGCTTAGTAGTCCTGCCCCATGTGGTTGCGGTTGAAGCTCCGCCGGCGGCCCGGCGAGGCCCTGCGGCGGCGCTGCGGCCTCTGCAGGCCGCCCCCGGCGCCCACCCCGCGGGCCCAGGCCGGCGCCGCCCCCGCCGCTCGCTAGCTCTGCTTGGTCTCGGGCTCCGCCGGGGGCTCGTCGCCGGGGTCCGCGCCCGGCTCCAGGTCGGTGGCGGGGGCGGGCGCGGGGGCGGCCGCAGGACCCGTTGAGGCACCGTGCTGGAGGGGCGGCGCAGGCGACGATACCCCCGCCCCCGCGGCCCCCTCCTCTCCGGGCGGCGGCACGAACAGGTCGCCGAGGTGGCAGTCCTCCCTGAGTAGCGCCCAGCGCTTGGAGACCTGCGCGGCCAGGCGGTCCTTGTAGCGGTGCGCCGTGCGGTCCACGACGTGCGAGGACTTGACGCAGTCGTCGCCCCCGAACTCGCACACGCGGTAGTGGTGCAGAATGGCCGCCGAAGGGTGCACGTTGATGGCGCCGTGGCCCGGCAGGAACTCCCACACGAAGTGGTTGCCGGCCTCGACCTGATCGGCACGCGGGGAAGGAGTTGAGAAAACGGTCACATGCCATTTCTAAAAAAAATAAGTATCAAGAAAGAGAACAAGGAAGGAGACCCACCACGAACTCTGGCCGTGCGATGTACTTGGAGCGCTGCTTGTGCGGGTGTAGCTTGGTGCGCCGGGTCGTCTTCCGGGCGGTGAGCAGGCGGCTGTCGAGGCCGTGCTTGTCCACCAGCGGGTCGTCCTGCCACTGCAGGTAGAAGAAGGCGTTCTGGAAGGAGAAGGAGCCGGCGCTGCGGATGTTGAGCTTCTTGCCCAGCCACCTGGAGAAAAGGTCGGAATCTGGCTTATTTTCTGGATTTTGTTGGTCTCTTCGCTTGCCAATAAAATTTGTCCTTCGAAACGACCAAAAGTTGGCGTTCATTTAGAAGGAGGCAAAATTTAGGCTAGCAAAGAGGACAACAATTAGCAGTCTCTAAAATAATGCCACAATTTAGCATTCAAAAACACAAGGCCAAAGCTTTGGCAAGCAAGGCGGCCATACGGCGTTCAGAGTGTTCGCGCACCTCAAATCCGTCGGTACACCAGCGCCCGCGAGTAATAGGGGGGGGGG